TACAACGTTTTATAAGCATTTGTGTTACAGAACTTTGTTTTAATTGTGTATGCATTTTAATAACTAGAAAATTCAAGACTATAAATAATTGTTGAAATAATTTTTTTAATGAAAATAATTAAATTAAGTGTATTAGAGCACCTCAAAGTACAATATCGTACGAAAATTCACCATATAACCTATAGTTTACTTATCCTATTAATGTTACTAATCAAATACATACGATTAGTCACTTACCAGTTAACTCAATAAATGTTTAAAACTCGTAACTAACATCTTTACTTATCTTCAAACTTTTTTTTTTTAAAGTTTTTGTCATTTAAAAACTTAATTTTACCAATTTTTCCAATTTGATTCAGTGAAAGATTCTAGCACTCAGAAAAAATTTTTATAATTATACATTTTTTACGTATATTGCTACTACACTTATAATATACTTTTATAAGTTTTGGTTATATAAATTACGTATTTCTGAATTTTTAGCTACACTCGTTTTTTAAAGTTTTTAAGAATATTTTTTATTTTCCAATAGACATTAAATTACAGAAAATCAAATGCTACAGTCTTCTATTAGTATAGCAGAAGCTTAACTTTCTACAGTATGGATTTAAATTTTATTTTTATTAGTTTATAATCTATGATGGACTAAAAAAGTGTTAAGCTTATAGATAACGTAAAAAAAGTACAAGAAAAAAAAGTTTCTACATTTACCTGTGATAATTATTTATTACAGTACAAAATACCGAGTAGACGTTTATTTGTTTCTACTTCTTTTGGTAATAAAATTTGTGTGACACATAATAAATTTTCATCTTTTATGTAATTTATGATACACTTTCCACAGTGTTCATTATAAATAATGAATTATTTGTAATAAAAGACATTCTAGTCCCAAAATTAAATTGTAGATGTAAGGGCTATTAATGTTAAAAAATTCTGTTAGGTATTTATAAAACGTATCCATATCCACTGGTTAAAAAAAAAGGTTACTAAAGAAAAAGTGTTGGGGCAATGAATAGGTATTGTCAGTTTGTAATAATTAGTAACATTGAAATGTACTTAACAACATGAAGTAATTTACTCTTATAGTCTTTAAGTATAAAATAAAATATACATAACTTCTAGTCATTATACATTATTGGACTCATCAGTAGACGAGCCTATGAAAATGGATCTTCAAACTGCTTCATTTTCTTCTGTAAATAAAAAATTAAGCATCAGTTCAACAAATATTCAAGATCCATTTGTCAAATCTAAGGATGTTTATAAATCATCTGGGGAAATATATGTCAAGGCTCTTAAAACTGCCGAACAACCACAAGAAAAAAACATTAATAACAATCGAATCCACAATATTGACAACTTTCAAACTTTTTCTATAAATTCTAGTGACATGGATAAGAAAGAAAACCACCAGGATGTAGTAGAAAAACAAAGCAGTAGGAAATGCAAAGATTCTTGTCACGAGGACAATTATAATACAAAAAATAGTAACAACCATAACAACAACAGAGGAGGCTCTAACAACAATAATCCAACACAACTGAGGGTTCCAGAAGAAAATAGTCTATTCCAATGCCGAAATAGTCTTTCTTATATACAAACGAAAAAAAATAGATCAAATACAGTCAATACACCTATTAAAGAAGCTAAAAAGTTAAAAGCTAGTGCTCTTTCACTTGAATCTGATATGTCTCCAAGTAAATCACGAACAAAAAGTCTATCTGAGCGTCGAAAATCAAAAATATTTGAAACAACTGAAAAATTCAAACAAATATCTTCTCCTGTAGAACAAGAAAAACCAAAAATTTTCATCCCGGGTGTCAATGTTGGAGGAGCAAAACTAGTATTTGAAAAAAAAGCAAGTATATCTCCTACTACATTGCCACAAACTTTTAAGGTTCCAGTGTCTAGAGTAATTATTGATGTACCTGCAACAGACAAAAACAATCAAAATAAAAAAACATTTGAAAAAGACTACGGTGGTGGAGACAAATGTATAAATCATGACGAAGAAAAAAAAAAAGCTCTTGATATTATTACTGGTGCATTATGTAAGCCACCTGTACAAAAAAAGTTAAAGGGATGTATATCAATTGTCTCCATTGATTCCAAAAAGCAACTACCAGAAGATACCCTGATGCCCCGTAAATCAGATGATAAATTATCTACAGTATTAACATCTATAAGTTTTCAAGCTCATTCTGATATACACTCAAATCTTGGCAATGAAAATGTAAGTAAAACAGTTATAAAACTCGTAATATTTAATGAATTCTAGTTCTGTGTGATGATTTTTTAGTAGTAATTAGCTTAAACTCTGAACTGTAGGACAATCATCATTTTTAAATGTTCGTGTGAAATCTGACATTCAAAAACTATGTATCAAAATTATGTTATATTATATTTATAAGGTTTTTGTTGTATTGCAGGATACTATACAATTTTAACGTTAACCATAGTTACTTTTTTGAAGTTACTCGTTAACTGTACGTATGCCCACAAACTTAGAAACATTATTTTATGAAGTTCTTTACTATTTTAAGTACAAAAATAGTCATTTAGGTAAACTAACTTGCCAAGTAAAGTGCTCCACAATTATTTTTTATCAGTTAATATGTGTAAAATATTCCAATAAAACGAGAACTGTTTATTTAAAATACATGAGCAAAAATGTATTCATAATATAGAAAATAGTTATACTTATTTCTCGAAGAATAATGCTTCCCAACTAATTTAAAATCTCCTTTCTTCCATAATATTTAATTAATCTATTGCACAAATGAAAAAGTTAATTGATTTCTTTTAAAAAAACCGGTTGCCTGTAGATGTGTACTTGCGTAAGTAGTAAGGGTGAGTAATTTCCAGACACCTCTGACGTCACCGTCTGGCACCAGAGGTCGGGCCCGGGGTGAGTGTTTAGTCGTGCTGTTGGAGGAGGGGAAGGAACGGGGACCCTAGCTGGGAAATTTTGGGGGCTTCGAAGAGTGGCGTGGATGTTAAAATCTGGTGGGGGTGTGGAGGTGGGATGGAAAGGTGAAAATAATGAAGTCGTTTGGAATGGGGTTGAAAAAATTTATTCACAGCAAGATGTAAAGTGATACACATACAAATACAATGTAAAAACTTAAGATAATTGTTTATAGTATAAAATGTATGGTGATATAATATTACTACATATAGGTAAAATTGTCACTGTTAAATAGTGTTGTTAATCTAAGAGGTTATAGTTTTATACAATGTAAGTGATAAAAAGAGTGCAAGATGTCTAGTTTTTGTGATCGTATTTCAACGCAGGGATGTATATTTTAAAATTACTTAAAGTAAAATATTTTTAGACTTACAATTTTTATTACATTTTGAGGATATATTGCGCCTATTCTCTAGTTTCTTATGTCTAGTAATTTTATTGTACAAAGTTACACTTATTTTATCATTAGTTGATGTAGTTCTTGAAAATATTGAACAAAACATATCCAAAATATAATTATAAGATATGAAAACAAAAAATCGATACAGAAATGACCACACACTCGAGAGTCAATACTCTGCAATTGTTGTACGTTCCACTCGTAACTAGTACAGTTTCATCCGGGTCGATCAACATGGTGTGAGACAGCGGGTGGCAACCCATAACTGTCAAAAAAAACTCCGTGTCCACTAGTATCGACGTAGAAGGCAACAAATGCGTGTCAGGCCTTGTGCTCTCGTCTGTATTAGCTACAAGGGCACACGGTCTCGTCCAAACAAACGGCAGCTTGTCTGCTGGAAAGACCCCGACTGTGGGTGTCGGAATATGCAGCAGCGCTTTTTGTATTTGTTTCAAGAAGTCATCTTCCCTTATTTCGGTGTACACAGTTGCAGTAGAGTCCCCACTTTTTCTAGATTTCCAAAGGTTAATGCTTTTCATGAGGTTCCAGACCTCTTGTATAGCAGCCGCAGCAGAGGAAGATGACGACTGGCTTAAACGTGCAGGTTTTACTGTCGGCTCTTGAGTTTTTTTTTTTTTTTTTTTACATCGAAGGCATCATCTGGATGTAAGAGGGAATAACTTTCGTAGAATGCACGGGCTTGTTGATCCAGGCTCGTAACTTATAAACACGAGCTAGAGCACTGAAAGCTTTCTCTTTTTGCCAAAAATGCTACCAAAGAGCTAACTCTCAGAACAGTTAAGAAGACAGGAATACTCGTCATCCAGTTTTTTAACACCCTTTTTAAGATTATCATTGTTTTCTGAAGGAAAAACAAATCTTATCACATGTTATGATGTAAGCTACGCAAATGCAAAAAGACAATATCCTTTTGGATAATCTTTTCTGTGTATGTTATTTCCCTCGTTCATGTAATATATTCTGGATCCAGAAAATAATGTATAAGCTTCAACGTACATAGATCTACTTCCTGTAAAAGTAGGTTGTAATGGTTTGCTTAGAATTTAAACTCCATCAACGTATAATGACAAAAAATTAATAGAGTAATTTTGGAAATTAAAGGGGTTAAGTTTTTTGTCTCCGTTAAAAGTTTTGTTGTCGACGAAACCTAGTAATATTCTTTTTGGTAACTGGCCAAGAATAACGCTTTTTTAACAGTTGTCTGTAATACCACTAAGCATAGTTAAAGATTTAACTTCCACACGGGTGATTGCATATTTTGCAGTAGTGCTTATTAAAGTCTTTGCATGTGCAATCAAAACTGTGGGGCTTACTTTTACTCGTCGTACAAGAAGTGTTGCTTCGGTAATACTGACTGAATAATTCCTTGTAGATGCATTCATCAAACAAAATGCATCCTTCGAATGAACCAGACGTAGACGAACTTTGACGCCATTTAATGAAAGTTTGTCTTGATTAAACACGTCGCAATGCAAATGACCCATCAAGTCCACTGTTATACCATCCTTTATACGTTTTGCGAGAGATATGTTTTTCTCTGATCCGGATAGTTCATCCATCTTACCAGCTACATCGGTTTCCCAAAGACTCGTGGACAAGTGAGACGTTTTTGCTGCAGGTCCGTAATTTAATAGTGTTTCGATGTATGCTCTGTACGGGTAAGCATTGTTACGAGGGGTCACTAGTTTTGAATTGAAATATACATTAACTTGGTTAAATATACAGTGTAAGAAATTTTTTACTGGAGCCATAGACGGATCTGTATCCTTGTCGTAAAGTATTAATTTTATATTAACTCTCAGCATTGTGGGAGCCAGGTCTGAATAATTCTCATTTTGAGAATTTATGACAAACTCTATCGGACTTTCGTCGGTTAGTGATGAAACAGGCATATAATAAACCCACCAACTTGCCTCTAATGCTGTCTGAGTAAGAGGAAGAGAAAATAAATCTAACTCACTCTTGAGACACGGATCAGAGTGGCTATGCCAAAAAGACATTATTGATATTTAACTAAAAATATAAGTCACCTTAGATTGCTTTTTTTCTGCTCTTTTTTACTCTTTTTACAGTTAACACGCTTAATTTTTTTACTATTCTTCTTTTTCCCTCCTTTCGTATTATTCTTTTCAACAACACTTTTCTTGCGTCCACGTTTTGTCACTCGAGATGTTTTCTTTTTAGCACGAGTCGTAGAGATGTGATGGGTAGCGCTTCTGCTACGAGACTGCGCTCGACGTTTGTACGGCAAAGCGTTATATCCGGATCCTTCTATTAATCTAACAAGCTTTTCCGTTGCCTTACGTTTCAAGTTCATACCTTATTCGGTTGCACGATTTGTCAATGCATCTTCAAATGGCAAATTACGTTGACTAATGTCATCAATTATATTTACACCAGCTTGGAAAGCTACTTTTCCAATAGCGCGTGCACCTTTTGTTATATACGGCATAGCTTTGCGAAAAAGCCCCATGAAAAAAAAGCCTAAGCCATGACTTCTCTGCCCATGCGAACCAGTAAACACATGCTTGACATCTCTACCCCACCACCGCACTAAGAATGATACACATCGTAACAACTAATTTTGTACAAGGATTCTAAAAAAATACTTTCCTACAATGTAACACCACCGTCAGTGTCTCAAACTCGAATGCTATCGGTTTACCAAATTGGTCTCTTATATCTATATTGATTGTATGATATCTATTATTGAGGAGGGGTACGTATGCAACAGGCGTATACCTCTTGACGATTGTACTACTAAAATGATCTTCTTTAGCATACAAGTTAACTATTTGTAATAAAGGTGCAAACGTGTATCCAACAATACATGGTTCACATATATTAAAGTAAATAAAAAGTTTATCGGGCACTGCTCTTGACATGATTGCCGGCTGTTTACCGTGAATTATTATTAGGTAATCATCCTTTATTTCTGCACGATCTTTTTCGATATGAATTATTATTTCTTTGAATCCTACAATGCATTGTACTGCGTTTGATAACCATGGTAATTTTCCATCCTTATCTACTTCAAAATGTTTCATTATGAATGAAAACAGTGTTCCTTTTTTTCTAAGGTGGGTACACCAATAATTACAAATCCACCGTCTTTCTTATAAATTAACTTACGCTGATATTCTTCATTTTCAGAGATATATTCCATCCATTTGTTATTTATTGCTTTACGTAAGCTATTCATCGAGTCGTATGTGCCATGTTGAAAATGATGTTCTGTTTTATCCTCAGATGCACTGAGTAAAGCGTCCTCTCGAGTGACATGTAAAATAGTGCACGGTACGTAAATCTCGAAAATTTCAGCCTTACATTTTCTACACAGCTCGATTTCTTTTGGTAATTAAGTAGAAAAATTCGTTGTAGTATTATTAGGAAAATATTTCATACTGCTGTTGCTTGTCAAAGTTATCATAAAATTGTTATGAACCATCTCTCAAGTCTTTTTCAAATATCTACAAATTTAACTTTTCTGGATAACCCACCCAACAAACAAAATATTGTTTGTTTCTTCCCTTTCCTTCAAATTCAAATTATTTTTTCAATTTTATGCTCCTGATCTAATACTCGATCGTTAGTGACTGGGCTAAGCTCCTCAGGGTAAAAAAAACCCTCAATACTTTCACCATCCAAATCATGCAAGTAATGTGTATATACATTTTGTCTTTTGGTAACACCGACAATTTTAAATATTTCTCGACTCTAGGATTTCACGGCGCCTTTTTCGAATACGTTTTTCTCGCGACTGATACGCACGTAGTCTCCAACTTTATACTTTGATTTAGCTTGATCATTCTGACGATATATTTGCTTTTGTGCTTGTGAGTTT